TAGATTTACAGTTCCTCCAAGAAATTCCAATGTTTTTGGTAAAATTATTGTTGTAAACACAAATGTAGAGTAGATAAAGTAGGAAGATTAGATTTCTCCACCATTAAATGTTTCTCCACCATGTTTCATAGTGACTAGTCACAATTCAGCATGCAAATATTACATTGACATCATTGCTATCAGGTAGATTTCCCCATTTGCCACTGATCTATCACACACATATCACCCCACTCTGAAGGAAAAAAATTACTATGTACTATAATATAATCGAAACCAAAAATTCAAAGAAAAACTAAGACTAAAATCATCTATAAAAACGTATGATTTGAGTTGAATTTATAGCATAAAAGTGGATAGAAATACAGAAAAGGATCACAAAACACACAGACACACACATAAATACATATGCACACATATTGCATAAGCACAATGCTTAGAGCCCCTATATTGAGTTTTGAGCAGAGTTTAATAGATAAATCCCCAGTTGATGCTATTGAGCCATCATGTCACTGTGAGGTCTCCATGAATGTGTCCTTAATACCTATAATACTTTTGTTAGCATCAGTCAAGTGAATAGACCTTATAGACAACTTACTGCATGTATAAGGCTCAGTGTTTGACATCCAAATGTTACCGTGTCTAATATCGTCTGAAGCTGTTTGATTCACAGCATGTTCAGTGTGTGTGTGCTGTTTCCACTCTCATCAGGAAGACAGTGTTTAGGATTGTTCTGTACTGTACTTTATCATCTTCAGAAAGAGAATAAACTATTATTAAACAACTGTTGCTCTTTCATTATTCTTTTTTTCCATGTCTTAATCATTATTTGCCGTTTTCTATATTTCTCTCTCTTTCTACATACACACATGCAAACACACAAACACAGGTTTATATATGTGACCCTGGACCACAAAACCAGACATAAAGGACTTTTTTTTAAATTGAGATTTATACATCAACTGAAAGTTGAATAAATAAGCTTTCCATTGATGTATGGTTTGTTAGGACAATATTTGGCCGAGCTACAACTATTTGAAAATCTGGAATCTGAGGGTGCAAAACAATCTAAATATTGAGAAAATCGCCTTTAAAGTTGTCCAAATGAAGTTCTTAGCAATGCATATTACTAATAATAAAACATTTTTTATATATTTACAGTAGGAAATTTACAAAATATCTTCATGGAACATGATCTTTACTTAATATCCTAATGATTTTTGGCATAAAAGAAAAATCGATAATTTTGACCCATACAATGTATTTTTGGCTATTGCTACAAATATACTGTAGGATATCAGACAATCTAAGATTTGGTCAAAAACATGGTTGAAACATGAGAAGCCGAATTCCACAGAGGCCCAAGACAACAGGATGTTCATAAATCAGATCCTAGCACTAGCCAGTCTGAAGCAAGCCTAACCAACTCTTTCACAGAACAGCTTTCAACATTAACACAAAAGGAACACACTGATCATAACAACTCAGGAAGGAGATTGTCAATTTTAGGGCAAGTAATCAAGATTAAATGGTCAAAGAGATGACAGCATGACCATCACGTGATAGTAACCACAATCACGAGCTCTGGATTGACTTCCCCACCTCGACGACAGAGAACAGACTGAAATTCTTTACAGACCTCTTAAAGGTTCATATTCATGTTTAGTATGTGCGTGTTTGAATCTTCTTGCTTGAAACGTTTCTTCCAATCAATTCTTTGTCAAATGTATCATATTCTTGTTATAAAAATCATGTCCAAAAGTATACTCTGTAAGAGCGGGAAAACTCCATGTGATGAGATAACATTTTGATTTATGAATTGGGAGGAGAAATATACAACACCCCCAGCAAAAACATTCCGTTGAGAGTTTCGTGTTCTGAGTTAAGTTTTGCCTAACGCCGAGTCTCTGAGTCCGACCTCGAGTGCCGTCTAAAACTTCAACTTCAACCTCAGCTCTGCGTCGTCAGCCAACGCCCAACCACTGGCTTCCCAAGACTGAACTTCCAGCCAATCAGCGACCGTGGGAAACCCCCTGTTCTGCAAGGACCACAACAAAAGGGAACCCCCGTTAAGGCAACGCAACGCAAGTACCTCGAGATCCTAGCTGAACTGGTGCATTTAATATAAATTTTAACCTCATTGAGGAACTCAATGCGAGGGTTAATTAAGTGATTGATGGTTGTTCAGGTCTATGCAATTGCACATATTTCTGTAAACTTGGGACTCCACATTTTCATTCTCTTAAACTAATTATTTCCTCACTTTCTGTCTTTCTGCAACTTGTGTGAATGCATGTGTTTATGTGTTAGATTAGTTTACATGTCTTAGATCTATCCAATAAAGCCTTATTTATATTGAAAAGAGAAGTATCTTGTGTTTCGTGCTTGCAAGTTAATGTCTTAAACTGCCGATCTTGTTACTGTGCTAATAAATAGTGTTTTCAGTATACTTTGGATATTAATATCCATTGCAGAATTTATGTTATACAGCTCGTTCAATGAATCGCTGGCCG